AAGCGGTGCAACAAAGTGAAGAGAGTTTTTCTAGGTTGCTAAATAATGCTACACTTTCCGAATTGGGCTTCGATTTTGTTAAATCTTGGTTATTTTGTGATGTGGTCCAGTAATTGTCATATCGGCAAAAGTCACGATACCTATTGTCGCTTTGATCATTGGACGATTGAGTCAGATTCAACTTCACAAAACTTTCCTCGGAACTGCTGCTTCCCGAGGTATTTTTAAAATATTCACACCGTAAGCGTCCCAAGCTCACTGTTATTCCTGTTATGAGAAGAGGTCAAGGCTGCGCACTTCGACATCGACCGTTGTATAACAGGAATAACAGTGACGGCAAAGCAAGCTTGAAACGGCAGAGAACGCCGGAAACCACAACGGACACAAAAGATGTGTATAAATTCTATTGATTTAACGTATAAAATGTTCATATTTCGAAATATTTATCGTTGTAAATCGACCATATTTCGTTCCCCATGCTATTCCTTATAACAATTAACGAGTAAAGTTAGAAAATAACCAGGCGCTAATCTTGATTGGTCGATGTTCGCTCGTGGGGAGTCTTAGTTCGCGGTAAATTCAAACTAAAAGTAGACTTGTCTGTGAAAACGCCGTGACAAAAATACAGGGCAGTTGAAGGTTTCAAGTGATGAACAAGAACAATAAGAACAATTTCACAGAGGGAGCAAGTTTTTATTCAGGAAGGTGTTTGTTTTACAGTGTGCAGCAGTGGCACTAGTGGGCCACCGTATATGAAAAACTCAATGAAAATGTCCAGCTTTGAAAGATACCGCATCAGTATACATTTTTTTCTGATTGAAAAATTTACTTCGTTTTTTAAAAGAAAGTGGGGGAACCGGCTTATAAGAGAGTGTGAGGCAGTGCCCTTTTTCAGTCGGACAAAAAACATATATACCCATTAAATACGAAGGAAACCTGAGATTACTTGTGGTGGGTGACATCACATCTGAGAGGAACACGTACCATCAGTCGCTTCGTACTTAAAAAAATTCATTGAGGGCCTAAGCATAATCGCAGTCGCTCTGACGCCATCGTGATTAATATGAATTTTAATAGTTATTCAAGTTTGGTTATAATATTATTTTTTATCATTCCTGTTGTGTTCTATTTTTTCTTTCTTTTTAATGGATCTCTTCGACCGAGAAAAAGCAAGATTAAAAAAAAAATACCAATTTCATTTGTTCTCTTTTATTTTATGTATATGTTCCGTACATTTCTATGAATATAATGAGCCTGACCATTTGGTCGCTGCAAATATCCAAGTATACAAAATAAACACAACTTCAAATAGCCAAGGTGTTTTTGATCCCTCTCGTTATTTTTATTTTTATCATAATGATTACAGTAACAATCCAGTTAAATACAGCATTTGTATTATTATGTAATTACTAACAAATAATTTTTTAAATCAACCTCTATGAGCTCAATGGTGCTACTATAACTTGCACCTTCTTTGATATGCCAATTTATCAATTTGCTAAAACTTCACCCATTAAAATTTCATATGCCATATAAGCACATAGATTACTATTTTTGTTTTTAATGAGGGTCAACTTGTTAGATAATTCAATGAGTCAGAAAGCATGCATTTTCTGAACTCTGCAGAAAATATAAAGAAAAACCTGGTATTGTTCTAATAATGAAGCACATAACCAAGCAGGAAAAATGAGCAAGAATTAAATCAAAACTCTTGAAAACCACTTTTGAATCTCTTGTCACGGTATATTCTTATAGACAGAAAGAATACTATACTACTACAAACCGAACTACGTTGTTAAACAATGTGTGAAAACGCATGTTTACTAAGAATCGACTCCTTTAGGCAATACAGTGATTATCTTCTACAAACCACTACAGACTGTACCTTCTTCTCCGCCGATTCAAACTCCCTGTTTCTTTCCAATTCCCTTTAAATGCACATCTTTGAAGTGCATCACAGTAGCTCTATCTCACGGTATAGCTTGAAATGCACAATTGCTCCTAAATTACTGAATTCCTTGACATATTCTACAACATTCCGCAAGCCTACCACACTACTATTCTGTTAGAATTATATCATAATCACATAAACTGATATATCCAAGTCACCGTGAACAGGTATTCTAAAAATTTCCGGAAACGTCTATTTCATAATTACTTCCCATAACAGTTCTTGGTATTAAATCCTTTCGTTAAGCCAATTGACATATCTTATCGTGTTGGGGATGTTTTTAAGACAGCCAAAGATCACAAAATTAGCAAAACAGTTTTTTTCTAACTCGAGTATCTTATACGCATAATAAAAAAAAGAGATTGTGGATTTCTAATTGCCATTTCTTCTTGTTAAATTGCTCAGAATTTATAATAATTTCCTCGAATTTAACTGCTTACAGTTTTGTGTCCTCTTCAAAAGTGTGTTCTTCAAGGACAGCTTCGGTAGCCGAAGGTGACTTTCGACGCGTTGAAAATCTTGATTTTTTCCCTCGTCTGTAAAAAAAAACAACAAAACAAAAAGCAAAACAAGGAAAAAGAAAAGAATTACTCAATCGCTATTATCTTGCAAAAAAATCATTTGTGTAAAAAGCCCCGTTCTGTCATTTACTCAGTCAGTCAGTCAGTCAGTCAGTAAAACAGACTATCAATCAATCTTTCGGTTGGCCGCTAAGTTGGGCACACATATAGCAGTCAGTGAAACAGTCAATCAGTTGTTCTGGCGATTGACCAGCATTCGTTCAGTCAGTTGGTCAAGTAGTCAGTTGGTCGGTTGAAAAGTTGCTCAGTCATTTTGGTCAGCAAGTCAAACAGTCAGTCAGTCGGCTGGTTAATCAGTGAATAGGGAAGTTAGTGAATCAGTCAGTCAGTAATGTAAGTCCGCTAGGGACAGTCACTCTTTCAACCGTTTAGCCAGTAGGTTAAGGAGCTTCCTGGTGGGCAAATAAGCCAGTAATTAAAATAATTCAGCGGTTAGTTTGTCGGTGACAACGTCCATCAACTTTGTGATACGAACAGGATGTCTCTCTCAAGGAATGTGAACTTGTGTATATCCAGCTGCTCACCACTTACTTCTTTTCGGTGGAATGCCTGAATTTATCGTCTCCTTTTTTCAAACTCTGGTTCCGTTTTCCTAACATGAAAAGAACAAAGTAAATAAAATCACATATTTGATGAGGTACTTAATACACTGTGGCAACTGCTTAACTTGATGGCACTGGTTAACGACATTCTAAATGTAATTCTCTTGAAAATTAGCTTTTATGTAATAGGATCAACTTGGAGAGGAACTTCTATTTGCTGGACTGTAGGGTGATTCTGTTATTTCATGTACAGCATTCAGGAGAATGGTTTATAGTATTTATTAACTTTAATTTGAACATAGAGTTTTTATTATTTTTCTGTGCACCATAATGCATCTTATTGTGTGGTGCAGAAAAAAAACAATTTTTCTGTGAACTCAACTTTCCATCTGATTCAAATACGTGATACGAAATTTCTTTGCGTTTATTAAGAGACTTCTTCCGGTTGTTGTAATCGGAACTTTAATTTTGTGATTGAGGTCACTGTGAGCCCGAGAGAAAATTACGTCGTTTAAGAGACTCAGAAAGTTCAAGCTCTTGCCCTCCTTGCTCTTTGTTAAATAAAAAAAATAAAAAAAAGAAGACACAAATAAACAGAGAACTGTGGGGTAATCCGCAGGGTAATGCTGGAGAAATAAACCGAATTAGCTTCTTTTTGTTTTGCTTTGTTGGTTTGTTTGTTTTACCGAGGTATTCCAAATAAATTCGAAGCAAAATTTGTTTTATTTGATGAAGCAGCAAATAAAGGAAAAATGAATAAAAATACGAACGAAAAAAATTTTAAAAAATTTTTCTGCAAGATGTCGGCGAAACGAAGAGGATATAATAATGATAAGACTCATCGAAATTCGCACCAGAACATTGCCCTTTTTGTAAAACAAACCCAAAGCCAAATTAAAACGGATAAAAAACCCGAAATACGTTGCTTTCGTGGTCGTGATATTGCATTCACCAGGTATCAAACACTTGTAATATTACACATAATTGATGGATGTCAAACTTAGGGATTTCTTCAGTGTTTTGTCATTTTCATCTTTTGCTTGACAATTTCTTGAAAGAATTGCTTAAGAATGTTAAAGCTCCCAAATAAGAATTACATGAGTCTATACTCAACTAGATGTTTTCATACTTATTGCCGTTCATTTTGTCCGCAACCTATTATGGAAAATCTCAACTTATTGCACCCAAATTTCGCTCATTTGCATTAAAGAATTTTATCTCTTAATCTTCTTTGAGGATAATTGATATTCTTTGAGTTGACCACCAGTTTTAGTGGTAAGAAAGCTAGCTGAGAAATTAAAAGCTACTTCATTCAGAGCTTAGCAATGCGTGAGGGAGGTAATGAGATTCTTAACTGATCGATACACAGGAGAGCTTGACAGTCCTTAGAAGGTCCGTCCATTTCTAATACAGCAACACTGGATAAGTTGTCAAACAAACAAAGAATAGCGACCAATTTTCTCATGGAAATGATAGGCTATAGATTTTTAATAAAGAAGGTAAGAAAAGTTACCTTGATTTGGATCAGCATACCCAATAGGTGCCGGTTCGATTCTTTCGGCTTCATCAAGTCCTCCTTGAAACAAAAAGGTAAATACTGTCATTCTTTTGTGTTTTAGACTAATAAACAATATTGTACCTTATTTTCCATTATCTTAGTATCGGTGATTGTTTCAGAATCAAGTTAGACTATTTTTTTTTCTGTATTTCAGATAATGACAATGACTGGAGACAAAGAAATTTTTCAAAACTTTTAAACCTGACAAAATTGTCTTAGAACACGAGATTCGTAGAATTTAGAACTAACGCAATAAACGATGAATGTTGGATAAATATAATGATGTAAATTAACTTTATTGATTTGTGTCTATGAGAATATCCAGCTGTTCCAGATCCCTCCAGAGGTACAGAAAAAAATAAAAAACTACCATTAATACAACATATTGTAGAGTCTTGGCAATATAAACTAACAGAACAGCAATGAAAACTTCTGTACGGAACTGTTGTTTATATAAAGATGACATAAGAGGAGAAACTTTAGCCTACCCTGTTGTGAATGACGCACATCAACATTTGCCACTTCGATAACTACACCCTCGACTTCCCCTTGAAAAAAATATTAAATAAAACATATAGTCAGAGATTGCCACTGTGTTGTCATTCTCAGTTTTCATGATGTCCGTACTGTGTTCTTTAAAAAGAAAAAATGTCTTACCTCCCAAGCCGCCATGTTGTTCAATGTCTTCCATGCCCTGTTGGTTCAGTTGTTCTCCATCTCCTTGGCCTTTTTAAAGAAAGCAAAGAAAAAAATTGTGAACGAGCCAGGAAACAAATAAGAAATTTTGTAACGAACGCAGAACGAGATTTACAATTTCAAACTATTAAAACGTAATGGACAAGAAAGATTGGGTAATTAAAATGATAATAGTAAACTTTATGTGTGTGTAAAGAAATATCCTAAAGTCACAGTTCCTTCAGTTATAGAGGACACATTACAAAATCACCAGAGGTACAATATAAACTAACAGAATAGCATTGAAAACTTGACATTGAATTAGAAACTCTAGCCTTACCTTGTTGTGGATGATTCACACCAACACTTGCCAGTTCAATTTCTTCACCCTCAATTTCTCCTTGAAAAAAGAGAGTAGATAAAAAATGTACACAGACTAACCCTGTGCGCTTAGTTGAAATTTTCATGATATGTTAATTGACACCTAAAAGGTTTTTACCTCCATCGCCGCCATGTTCTTGATTGTCTTCCATTCCGTGCTGGTTCACTTGCTCTCCCTCTCCTTGGCCTTTTTAAAGAAAAAAAAACACGAAAAGAGGTTTATGAAAAAAACAAACAGGAAACATACAGTTAATAGAGAGAACGAAAGTACTAACAAACGAAAGAAGGAATGGGTTCTAGAATTTGAGATTAACGTGACGAACAGATAAAAGAAGGTTAGATGATTAACTGTAAAGATAATAATAAACTCTATTTTCGAGTATGAAAGTATCCAGCAGTCAAAGATCCCTCTGGTAACAGAGCACACAATAAAATCATTAGGAAAACAATTAAAAACAAACAGATCAGCAATGAACACTTCAACACGGTATTTTTCTTCCAGACAAGAATTACATTGGATTAGAAAACTGCAGCCCTCCCAGTAAGGGATGATGCACACCAACATGTACCAGTTCCATTTGTTCACCCCCACCTTCTCCTTAAAATGAAGACGATATATGGAAAAATGTTTTTAGTCACAGATTGCCCTTTATTTCCCTCATTTACAGTTTTCACCATGTTTCCAGAAATACGCGTTAGGATTTACCTCCCTCGCCGCCTTGTTGTTCGTTGTCTTCTATTCCCTGTTGGTTCGGTTGCTCCCCATCTCCTTGGCGTTTTAAAGAAGAAAAACGAAGAAAAGTCAATGATCGAGTAGTTCGTACAACAAATGAAGCGACCAATAAAAGAACGAAGGAGCGAACGAGTGAATAAATGATTGAATGAATGCCTCCATGCATGCATGAGTGAATTGATTTATGAACGAGTGACTGAATGAATCAGTCAAAAACTATATTTGCAGCAATCTATTAGTTTACACTGTTGTTCGGTTTATTTCTTATGAGGAGCTGTTAGCTGTATTTTTACTTCTTCAAATATGTGATAATTACATCGCACCTTCCTGATCACGACCACAGCAGGTGAAAACGGTCTTCAAGTAGTTCCAAACTTTTTCCATTTTGTTCTTCAGAATGCCTCTGACCTGGATACGCAATAGCCAAAAGTAATCGAGATTTCGCTCACTTCCTTGAACTGGGCTCCGATGACAAAATAGAAACTAACGAATTTCTCCTGTGCAGTGCTTTTAAAACATTTCAATGTCAATTGCAGGTAAAGAGAGCAGCCTTGAGCAAAATTATACACTGCTTCGAGTCGGCTGAAAACCATTACCCTTCCTGTAACTAGCCATTATTAATCTACTTACGGATCTAATTTATTATCTTGATTACTTATAATGGATTAAAAGCGCATAACTACCTGTTCTGTTGAAAAGGTGTACAGGATAGGATTCAAGGCCGAGTTGATCGGAAGGGCAAACACAGCAATCCAGACAGCGAGGTCTCCTTGCGCTTTGTAAGACTTCTCGATGATGGTCCTCATACCAATCACTATCACCGGCATCCAGCACACACAATCACTCAGGATGATGAAAAACACCCGCCTTGCAAGAGCCGTTTCCCTCCTAAAGTTTGCTCTTCTGGCCTGGATCTCTCTTTCAGTACCCTGACGGGCCAGTCGCCGGCTAGACAAGTAAGACTTGACTAGTATCATGAGATAAGCACCCATGATGAACAAGAAAAAAGCAAAATTCAAAGCGAGAAAGATAGCGACAGAATACTCCCAACCTGCCGGCTTATCAGAAGTAAGCTGCAAGGGCAGACATACCACACTTCTACCATAATAACTATGGTACCTGAAAGGGTCTTCAAAATACTGAATACCAAACATGGGCAAAAAGGCCATAAGGAAGCCAATTGCCCATATGATGATGCATAGGATATGTGTTGCCTTTGGTTTCAGAGAAGCACCCTGATAAGGAAACACAATATTTTTAAGCCGATCAGCAGATATCAGAGTCATCATCATAACCGACACCTCACTTGACAAGAGGGAGATCGCTCCAATTATTTGACAAGACAAACCAGACCTCCACTGGAAGTCATGCAAGTAATACTCTCCTCTCCACAACAGATCTTTAGTGCCAAGAGAGACCAGGTAAATACCCATCAAACCATCGGACACTGCTAAGTGGAGCAACATGATAGACTGTACCACGTTCTTTTCTTTAAAGATTACTCGCCACGTGATAACAAACACTGCACCAACCAGAGAAAAGATTCCTATCGCCCAGATACTCTTTCTCGGGGCAGAATTCTTAAACATGCTCTCACAGTTGGCAAAGTCGTCGTTATCAATGAAAGCACATTCAGCGTCCTCCTTGTGCATATGACAACACATCAGATTTGTGTCCAAACTCCTGCAACCGTAAAATTTGATGCTATTCAGTTCATAAGGATGAAGTGAAAGATAAAACCAAAAGCCTATACCCTAAGAGCACAAAGGTAACGCGAGATCAGTCCATCATAATTCATTTCCTCGTTTTTGTGACTATGAATCTTCATTGAATATCTTCGAAAATTTTTCTTGCAATATTATAAAGCAATGTAGTGCGCAATAGCAGTCTTTGTGAGGCGTATTACCTAACAAAATGGAGGTTGTTATAATAGTCGTCAATAGGGTAAGAATACCAACCATAGATATTAAGTAAAGTATAGAACCACTAACTCATTTGCCTGAAGCTCTGGGCTAGTAAATATTTGAATTAAAGGAACCCCCAGACGCTTTCTATTCATATAGCTCAGCTAATAAACTGTAAATGTATCAAATACGTCACATCAAAATCTTACACTCGTAATATATCCTTCAACTCTTTAAAAAATCCGTAGGGAATCTCCCTCATGTAGTTATAATGCAAATATCTGAAAATTAGAAATTTAAAGACAAGAATATAAGGATGATATCAGTGAATAGAAGAGCATTTCTGGAGTATTGCATCAAACTTAGTATATCGATTTGTGCTTTTTTAACTCGCTGATACGCGATAGCGTAGAATCGAGTTGTGGGCACTTTAGGATATGCAAATTAGCTTGGACTCTTCGTAATTAGTCGCAATTAGTCGCTCCGAATTCGAGATCTATACTTCCGAAGAAGTCCGAAGTCCTAACGCCATTGTGATTGCATCGATCGCTGCGAAGTTTATTGTCTTGACACGGCTGTTTCGACATTTACTAAATTGAAATGGACTTCGAATGTTTCAGATTAGTGCTAAGATCAATTTCAAGACCAAGTACGAAGGGTTTTCGACTACTTTCTATCTTTTTTTAACACCTTAGTTTACTGATAGTAACTTTACAAGCACATATCTCTTTAATTCTTTTTCCACGAGTTGGCCACAGACACCCTTTGATTATTTTCTTAACTGAACCTTTGATGGCAGTCAGTGTCTTTCATAATTTGATTCTCATTTTATCATTAATAAAAATTGAATACTCACAGAATTTTTAACTGCCTGATTTCGTTGAAGTTGTTGATGGAAACATTCCTCAATTCGTTGTCAAAGAGTTCTCTTACAAAAAAGATGAAAAGAAAACAATTAGCTATGGTATAATTTTTGTGCATTGATGTGTGGATCATTATTAGATTATTAGATTATTAGAGGGTACTGAGATACCACTTCGATCAAATTAAGCACAAATGAATTTCATATTCTACTTACAGAATCTCAAGCTCCTTTAGGCCTTTAAAAATTCCTTGTGGCAAATTTCTGAATTTGTTTCCCGACAGATGGCTAATGAGGAAAGGAAGAAAATAAAATGTATGGCGAACTTCATGAATTAAAGAACGGGACATCGATGACATTTTTCATAAGTAGCAAGAAAATTTGCAAACATTTTAAATGTAATCAGCTCTATTTTTTTCAGTTTTTTGACTTTTCGAGAGGAGCATCGTCGTTGCAGGAACTTCATGAACAAGTTGTTTCTGAACATTTGTCTACATTATATCTAACCCAGCTTATAGGTTTTCCAGCAATCTCCACAGACCCTCCGCATGCATTTATATTATCCATTCAGGAAAAACATTGGGAAGTTGTGACACAGGGCCTTAAATTTTCTTAAATATGGAAAACGTGATCGGTTCAGCGTTTTCTGCAGGAAATTGCGATGAGGAAAAAGTCTGTCAATCAGTTAAAGTCAGCCTACATGCAGAACCAGACCCATAGAAAACTCGAATCATACATAAAATACTTACAGCTCAGACAGCTGTGCCAGTCCGCGAAATTGTTTTGGATGGAGCTTTATTAAATTATTTTTCTCTATTTTTCTGTTAAATTGTGAAACAGAAACCTGTTAGTGACCAACCTTCTTCTTAATTTGAAATTTGAATTGGTGCCAACGTATCTAGCGTGCCTTTTGATTACGATTTCTCCACCCCAAGCCAAAGTAACCTCAACAACCAATTAAAAGGAAAAAAAATTGATGACAGCACTTGGTTTTAGCTTTGAATCCAATTGGTTGAAAAGGCGGCGCATGTTTTTTAGATTATTGATAGGGGTGATGAAAGCAAAACGAGAGCAATCCTCGATTAATTAAACTGATCCATCCTAGACCTCACATAGCTCTAAAATCGTCCAGTTCGAAAGCAATTTAAACATGGTCACAATTCTTTCCGTAATTTGACATTCAGGATCTTTTATAATGTTCTCTTACTGTTTTATTTCCCAAATCGATAAATCAATCAATCGACTGTCAGCTAATTAATATTTCAAGATTTCCATCTCTACTCACAATGCCTTAAGCTTGGTCAGGTTAACAAATATCGTTGATGGTAATTCTCCAATTTGGTTTTTGGATAAAAACCTGCAAGTATGAAACAGTAAGCCAGATATTGACGAATGATAGGTTTCAGTATGTGGAAAACATCTGTCATTTGCGTTTAACGACAAAACAAAATGGTTCCCGTAGCTTACGATTGCAACTGGTAAGATTGACGGTATTTTTTACAATGCAAACGATAGAAAGATATCTCATTGGCATTCATTCAGTGGGATACGTTTTGGTGAACATGTTTAATTAGATCAAGTGGAGAGACATAATTTGATAACCTTAGTGTAATGAAAACTCAAGTTTAAGATTAAAACGTCTATTTCTTGCGTTGTGAATTCAACCCTTTAGCTCCCATGAGTGACTAAGAGGGAATTTCTCCTTACCGTGTCAATGCATTATCAATCAGACTAGAGAATAAAGAAAAATAGCGATAAGGGGACTTTTAGTTGATCCAATACCAAATTCTCCAAGCTAACATCATAAAAATTGTATGGCAGATAGTAAGGAGAATTACTGATGAGATCTTGGGAGTGAAAGGGTTAAGACAGAAGTTGAGAAATTTTCGTAACTCGAACATGTTTAGGATGAGAACCGCTTTCCTTGTGGTGGCTGTTTTTGTTTTGTAATGTTTTTATTGTTGACTTACAGGTTTTTGAGAGTTGTTAGGTTGCTAAAGACGTCTTGAGGCAGATTCTCAACCTTATTATTAGACAGATCCCTGAAAGGTTCAAGGGGAAATAAGTTAGAACTTTCAGAAAATTGAAAAAAAATAACAGCATCCGGAATGTAATTCGCGTGAAAAGTAAGACAGTATGAGGAAACAGCCAAACAGCTCTTACGCTATCGTAAACGTCAGTCTATTTTCATACTTAACGGTAGGTAGACTACCGTTAAGCTACTCCATTTTTCAATCCCGAGTATGATTACAGACTGAATTGGACGACATGATTGGTGAAATATAAAGCAGCTGATGCACCAATCACATTTGAGGAAATTTTAAAGGTTATAATTAGTAAAGAAAAATAGCGATCAGGGGACTTTTAGTTGATCCAATACCAAATTCTCCAAGCTAACATCATAAAAATTGTACGGCAGATAGTAAGGAGAATTACTGATCAGATCTTGGGAGTGAAAGGGTTGAGACAGAAATTGAGAACTTTTTGTAACTCGAACATGCTTAGGATGAGAACCGCTGAAATTTGTTGTAAGCAGACCACTGCTCTAATGCTTTTACAACGCTTTGGATTGCACTTCCACTACCTTTGGAATGAGAGCATGCAGCGTAGAAGATTTTAAGGTAACGCCGAATTGGCTCGGATCGTTCTTCTCAGGGTAGCTAGGCCTTCGTAGATACTTGCTCGGCCAGCTCTGACAGAGCCAGGGTTACCGAGATTGGTCTTATATATGATGATGATAGGAACGAGTGGAGTCCAATTCGGTCTGTAATCATTCGAGTGATTGACAAAATAGGACAAACGCGAAGCGGGAGTCCATTTGTCAATCACGATTATGATTTCAGACAGAATTAGATGACACGAAGTCCTGTTACCAATTAATAAAAACCATAACAATTTCCGAAAAAAATTTTAGGGCAAACATCTCCAGTAGGAACAATGCCTAAAGCAAAAAATTTGGAAATTTCCCAGTTTTTTTTCAGGGTAAGTGATTGTTGCTATAGTTATTGTGATCAATTCTGTGATTGGTGAATTTCGCTGAGTGGACTTCATATGATTGGCTGCTTCAATTTTCCGATCACAGGTGTCCGATTACAGCCGTCCGATTACAGTCAACTATCCCATCACACGGTCCAATTACACCTGTACAGAGTGATTAGTAAAATATAAAGCAGCTGATGCACCAATCAAATTTGAGGAAATTGTAACGGTTATGATTAGTCTAGTAATAACAGTGGCTGGTTTCTCCTTAGGCAGTGGGACTACGTCAGTACAACAATTCGATGAAATTCAGGATCAGCGGATTTTGAGTCTGAGGCTTTCGGTTACGCTACCCTCCTTAACGATAATATAATACAATCGCTCGCAATTGTAATTTTTCTAAGCGACTTAAAATAGGCCCATCATGTGCTTCTATAAAATCAATGTACATTCAATTATAATCCATTAAATATTTTTTCTCGCACGCGTTTTGTATAAACGTAACCCCGGTGCAACTTGAGGGGATTTCTTTTCGAATACTTTTTCCATTTAAAGGAGGAGAACATTGAAATTGAAAGAGTCAGTATTTTTTGTAAACACAATTCTTTTCTATCATACTCACAGCTCTTCCAAACTAGTCAAATCTTTGAAAACGTGTTTAGAAAGCTTCCTGATTCCGTTATTTTGCAGCCATCTGATTAAAAGAATAACACGGCAATAATAGGTAAATGTTTTCATATCTTCCAATTATGACGAGTTTTCCAAACTTATTTCAGAAAGTTAAAGTTGATTTATAATAGTTTCGATGAGTGTGGCTCTTATTAATTTGTTAAGTTACTGGAACATCCGTACTACGCATTATTTTGCTCATTCATCCGACAAAAATATAATAACTAAGGTATAAAATAATGATCTCCTACAGCAACATTTTTGTATTTTTTCTTTCTTTCTCAGTAGCTTGTTATTTTTTCCACCTTCAATCTGCAAGTGTCCAATTTTTCACACAAATGATTTTAACTATTACCATTTTTCTTTTCTTTACTCACAGGCGTGTCAATGCTCTTAAACCATCAAACAAACCCTCTGGTAACTCTGTTTGGTCGTTGTCGTTAAGTTGTCTGTAGAGGAGAAGGGTTAAAAAAGTGTTACAATTACTTTAGTTCAAATTTGCTGGAAAAGACATTATTTGGACCGATAGGCTCTCCAAAGCTAAAAATTTTGGAACCAACAATTTTTGAGTTCGAAAGTAATTTATTGAATTTAATGCGACCCTTGTTTTAATTTGCGACTCAAAACAGATTCGTACGAGGCTTTTGAGGTACCTGATCTTGTTACTCAGATCTTGTCTGCTGTTAGATTTAGCCGTTATATCTATGATCGTTGATTGCGGGCGTTCGTTATTGGTCTGTTTGTTACGTAGATATTCAAGGGTTGAAAGATGTGATCGATGAAAAGGAATATGCAACATTTGAATTATGATATGAGCTGTGACACTTGTAACAGGCGAGATACGAAGACGACTTTCCACTTACAGCCACCGCAGCTTAATTAACTGGGAGAATGGATTGCTTCTCAAATTCTTGATCTTGTTACCGTATACGTAACTGTAAGGTAAGAAAGCTTGTTTTAACAATCCTTAGTAAAGTATAAATCTTGTTTGCATTTGACTGTGGTATTGGTGTGAAAAGAAGTGCGAAATGCAAGCCCGTTCTGAGAAAGAACACTTGTAATCTACTTTTCATATTGGCAAATAAAACAAAGTTATGAAAGGAATAAAAATTGAATTTATAAAACGTGGAACAACGTCAGATGCTAGGATATGATCATCTATGAAACTGAAAAGATTGTTTAATGAGGGTAGGTTTCTCTTTTCTGTTTAACTCCGTCCATCTATGAACTGTCCCACTCTCTTTCACCCTTTTAACGGCTGACTACACCTACTAAGCTTCAGGACCTTCTTGATCACATTTAGTTGATCAAAGGCTATCATCGCAAGAGCCAGGAAAATCAATTACGTACAGTACGGTCAACTCGGTGTTGTTATTGAAGACTCCAGGTGGCAGCTCCTTTATCTGGTTGTTACCCAATTCCCTAAGAAAAAATATTCCCTGATTTCAGTTAAAAGTGTCATTTTTTAGAAATTGTTGCTATTGCAGGTTTTTATTTAATTTTTTCTGTTGGATTAACAGTCTGTTTATGTCGTGCCCGGATCAAACGAGTGCTTTGCTATAACATTGATATATTTGTTACATCTTGATGTCTATCAACGCTCCTAGCAAAAGGCGCTTTTAAAACTCATCGATTATTAAACAAACAGCAAAAGATATTACGTACTTCGACGAGTTTCGTCTCACTGTCAGACTTCTTCAGGGAGTTTAACGAGTTTTGTATTAGAAATTGTTGCTATCGCAAGTTTTTTATTTTTCTTTTTTCTGTTGGATGAACAGTTTATTTTTGTTGTACCCGGATAAACACACGCTGATGCTAGTTGTAAAACTTCTTTATTCTTTGACGCGTTTCGTCTTACTGTCATAGACTTCTTCGGGGAGTTTTGCAAGTTAATTCTAAACACTTGTATTAAAAAGCCATACTATGGCTATAACGGGGGCCAATGACCATACAGGCTTGGCAGGACTTACGAACAGAAACAGGCGAAGTTTTGGAAAAAGTAAAGAATAATTTAGCGGCGAGGTGAGAAAAATATCTGGGGGCTAACTGATAAACGAAACGCGTCGGAGAATAAACAAGTTTTACAACTACTGTTCGCAGAGAGCTGCTCAGTAGTTTAGTTTTTTAAAAAAATTGTTTTTAACAATTTTTTGAATTTTAAAAAAAAGTTAATTAAAAATTTTTTTTAAAAATTGGGTTTGAACTTAATGGTAACTTGAGAGTAACTTGATAGTAACTTCTCAAACTTATTGTCTTGTTGAAAATTAGCTAGTAAATTTTGTTCCTCTGCAATGTACTGGGACATTAAAATTAAGCTATTCGGATATCTGGTAAGATTTAGGACCATGATTTGGCGATAAGAGATGAATTTTTCCTTCTAAACAATTTGTGAATGTAACAGGATCGATGACTTTGGAAATGAGATTGAAACCAGGATTTGTTCAATTGTGAGCTGGGATATTGGATTTGTATCCCACCAGTTTGTACTTCGATGTTTTATTCCAGTGATGGGATCTGTATTAATCGTTTAAAAATGTGTCGTGGAACATACATTAAAACACGTTTTTGCTGACGGTTACTGGTTTGATAATAAATGTTTGAATATCTAGTTCAAGAGAGTCAGCTTCGCGTTTGAGCTTAACTGCCATATGGTTTACAACAATCACTGAACTTGAATAAATGTTTGCCCACATTTCGTAGATCAAGATATTTTCATGAAATTTGCATAAATATAAACAGAACCAAATCGATAAATCAAGGATTCTGTATTAAACGCTTTTAAATGGGTGTCTTTGAGCATGTAATAGAGTTTATTAATGAAGCGGCCTGTAATAAGGATTTTGCTGAGGATAACTGGATCGGATAAGGGAGACGAGGATCACCCCGTGAAAACAGGCATTTGGAGCTACAGAATGTACTTAATTAGAAATGACTGAACATACATGTAATTCAAGGGAGTGCGCTTCATGCTTGAGTTAGCGAGAAGTAGTGTTGTTGACTGAGTTCAAGAGCTAGTTACCAAGGCGCTCTCTGAACTACGAATGTCTAAGCATAAGACACGTCAATATGCACGTAGTATAATAAAATCTGCTTATCAGAAATGAACTCACCGAATCGGTTACATAAAAAATTTATTACTATACTGATTCACGAAATTCTTAGCACATTAAGAAAAATAAAAATAAGTCGCCTGGCAAATTCATCAACTTGTTGCCGTTTAACCACCTGTAAGTTTTGGAAACTTTGTATCAACAATGCGTGGAAATTCATATTTCCTGTTCGCGTTCAGCCGTAATACTAATGTGAAAAGAAATGCAGAGTGCGAGACCCGTTCTTCTGAAAGGAAACGCTTGCAGGTGCCTCCCTCTACATACTGGCCACGCCCATGCAAACTGATAAAACAAAGTTAGCAAGGGAATAGAAATTGGATTTACAAAACGAGGGCCACTGACATATGCTAGGAAATGATCATTGATTAAACTGTCCAAATACAAACCTTCCTACCCTCTTTCATTCTCTTCATGGTTGACTACACCCACTAAGCTTGAGGACTGTCATGATCGTATCAAGTAAACACTGACACTACACTCTTAGCACATCGAAGGTTAATATTAAGAATGGGCGTGGATAATTGTAACTTACAGGCTCCACAACTCAGTGTTTTTATGGAAGACTCCAGATGGTAGCTCTTTTATCGCGTTGTTACTTAGGGCCCTAAGAGGAGATATTCCATGATTTTAGTTAGAATCATATTACCTCCTGTGTGTTGCTGCCTGAGGTTTTCTTTTCGGTCGGAATACAGTTTGTTTGTGCCGTACCCAGGTCAAACAAACGCTTTCACTCTAATCTTGAATGTGAATGAACAAATTGATATATATATCAACACTTTAAGTATGGAATAATCTCACTCATCAATGATTGAACTTAAGAAACAACAGTAAGTTAACGTGGAAATATTTAGAGCAAAAGTTAACGTGATTTTATCATGTACAAGTAAATTTACAAGTTAGGCTTATGTTGAGGTTTCTTCAAGTCTCTCCAACGCATTCGCCATGACGTGGGGATCACCTCACAATGCTACTTTACAAGCGAACCTGGTAAAAAAAAGCCGCCTAGCAAATTCTTCAAGTTGTTGCCGTTTAACCACATGTAAGTTTTTTAAACTTTGCATCACCAATACGTGAAAATGTATTAATCCTATTCGCGTTCGACCGCAGTACTGGTATAAAAAGGAATGTAGAGTGCGAGGCCCGTTCTTTAGAAAGGAAACGCTTGGAAGTGCCTCCCTCTACGTACTGGCCACGACTATGCAAACTAATAAAACATCGTTAGCAAGGGAACAGATAATAGGATTTGCGCAGCAAAGACCACCGACATATGCGAGGAAATGAACACTGATTAAACTTTCCAAATACGAACCGTCCCAACCTCTTTCATTCTCTTCATGGTTGACTCGTATTTCATAATCGCTCTCTCCACGTCATGAGACGCGGAGAGAGCGCTTTAGGACACAGTTGTTGACACCACCATTACTTTGCACTCGAATAGTTACAATAAGTATTTTGATGAGGTTCATCTTAAAGATTTATCCTAGTAGTTAGATTCCTCTAATTCCCTATCTTGGCCCGCAATTCTTTTTCAAAATTCAAAACCGTGCTTTCAAGATTAGAGGTGGTTTTTTTTCTGTCTGAAAAGTGTCACAAATAAAACAACATTGGAAATACGATTCCTGATACTATTATTGGTTTGGGTAATAATATGAGCTGAGATAGTTCGATGTAAATTCCCTTCTTTAAACTCTTGCCGTTGAATTGGTGTGTAGACGTAAGTACCGTATTTATTCGATTAAGTGCCCAATCTCGAATCAGCGCCCACCTCGAATAAGCGCCCACCCTGAAGGTAGAAAAAGTTTATAAGCGCCCAGCCTCGAATAAGCACCCACCCCCAAAAAGTAGTTTTTAAGCGCCCAACCTCGAATAAGCGCCCACCCCCCAAAAGAAAAAAAAAAGAAAGTTCATAAGAGGAATACGGGTATTGATTATTACGGTATTTCATTAATGGCTTACAATCTCTAGTTTCATTGTCTGAAAATTTTATGACAACGTTGGAATTTTTCTCAAAGTTTCAACTGAAATGTCCATGTGGGCGCAAAGTTCTTTCAGCCGCAAAATCTCCCGCTCAAACTTCGTGGCAATAGCCCTGCTTGGTGTCCGCGCTTCTCCAGCCTTCTTGACCCTCGTAAGCTCTCAGAAATGTATAGATGAGGTAGGATAGTTCCATTGGCACATGTCCTACAAGCTCGCTGCCGGTATAAGCTTCCAAATACGTCCCAATTGCATATTCGTCATGTTGTTTGGCTTCCTTGCGATTATCCTCGCGGCAGTTAATTTTCTCTCCCAAAGTTGGAGTCCACACAGATTTATAAATATGATGACCTCGTATAACTGAT